ATCTGCCTGGTAGACTGATTGAGAACTCTCTGCTACACGACAACCGAGGCGCTGAACCATTCGGTGGCGAATCATGTTCCCAGTTGCTCCGCTATCTATTGTTATACGCACTGGATGATGGTCATAGAACATGTCCACATATGGGGATTGTCGAGTCTGAATGCGGTAGGCTCTGGAACTGGTCTTCGGCTCTTCATCTCTCAGATCACAAGCGGGATCAGCTCAATTTATGCTACTCTCGGATTCGGGGATATCTTCTAAAATTTCTGCAATCTGTCTGGCTTTTACCATGTATCTGCGATCTTGGTCTGGCAGGAAGTTACATTCACTCAAAAAGTGGCTGCTGTTAGTGCGGCCAGCTTGTTTGCAAAGGGGACATGACTTAAGTGGTCGATTTGATCTGGTATTTGGTCTAGCAAGCAGTCTCTCACTACCAGGCTTTCGATAGCTGCTAACTGCTGTACGCATTATTTTGGCATCATCAGCTGAATGAATTTCCTCCAGCAATGAGGACAGGGCCTGTGATATCTCTGGTTTGATAGACGCCAGTGTTCGTGATCTTAACTCTGTGCCGTACCTTTGTTTTACTAATTTTGGTAACTCAGGGTTGATAAGTCTGAGCCAAGTGAGAACAATAAGATTTTCAACAGTTGATGATAACTCCTCATCTTCAGCAAGCTGCACCCCATGGTGGGAGAGGCTGTTAGCTCGAAGTAAACAGTCCTCGACAAAGGCTACTAATCTCTGGTATAGGTCTTCAGGACGCTCGTCTGTTTCTAAGCGTAGATTTGCGAAATCAAGAAAGTGTGCTCCTGTCACTTGGAAACCAAAGTGTTCTCGTATTGTATTCCAGATAGACTGTATAGAGGTTGAATTTTTGACCAAAGTGTTCCTAGATATGATTGGGCAATAATTTGCTATTTGACCAAGCATAAGTTCCAAGAAATTTACTTTCTGTTGGGCTGTTTGACGACTGTTCTGGGCAACGGCTTCGCCGTCATCTGTAAACCCACGTAAAGGCTGAGCCCTAGTCTTCTTTCCCCACGTAGCGTCTTCGGCCAGGAATGGTGCGAAATTGCTGTCAAGTGACAAAGTGTAGATTAAATTCTGCCTCCAGTTTTCAAAGCTAGTTATAGTCTCGATCTTTGAAAGGCACCATTGCTTTGGAGCTCGGATGAGTACTAGCCATAACTGCTACTATTTTTCCGATGGAAGTGCTTTACAGCGAAATATTCGAAGTGTTGACTTAAATTGTAATTTCAGAGTTAGACATAGATCGGCATTTAACACTCAGTTGTTTCCTGACGCCGATAACTTGGCGTAAGTTCAACCGCGCTGCCACCACGCCAGTTAATAAGACGATAAGTCATACACACAATCCATAGATAAAAATATATTTAAACAAGAGGCAACCTTTTCATTCAAGGAGCCGAAATTAATCCAAGTAAACAAAACATGCGCTAGACTATATAAACGTCACCGTCACTCGCGGGCGCATATCAAAGGCAATACGTCATGTAATACTGGCGCTGAATTCACTTCAAGCTCACAGCCGGACAAGAAATGGAAATATATTGATAAAAGGTACAGATTTGAAGATACAGGCAAGAAAATAACACTCTAAATAGTGTTTTTGATGGGGATTCGAACAAGGCTATTATAAAGAGGATATGTTCGAAGGGGCCGAAGTTATTTTCGGCGAAATGTATGGCTTGTTTATATTTTTGTTCAGACAATTGCGTAATTTGATATAATATGATCATGTTTGACTTCAAAGGCCCATAAATCGCTACAATGTTGATAATGACTAAAACTATAGGGAGGAATTAGTTGAATCTTTTATTTCTGAGTCGAATGGTGGTATTCCTATCTTCATAGCATGCACTGAACCGAAGATATGAAAACACAAAGCCGTCAACCGCTAGCGGATGAATGATTTGGGATGGGCCGCTAAAGAATTAATTAATTAAATCTATTTCTTGTTGGATAAAACAAATGACAGGTAATGTTTATTAGAGATTACACGATACCGGATTCGTATTGGAGCGACATCAATTTAAAGTGTTTTCCAGTTTTGTCTGCTATTACAACTTTTCATATATGAAGTTTTTGTTTAATTATGCTATGTTACCATAATTTTAAGTGCAAAATTCATCTCCAAGCAGTAAATTTGATTTCGCTGCGATGCGAATCCGGTATTGTGTAACTGGGACCTAAGAGTCGTCTATTAAGAAACTTTTTAACAGCAACTAGTAAATTTGATTGCATTTCCGGTGCTCTGAGAGGTCTCAAGTGTCAAAATTTCCCGGTGGAGTATTCCCCGGATCCCCCTACTAAACTCATGCCTTCGACGTTTCGGTGTAGTTCCCTTAATCCAAAAATGGCTCCGTAGTTGACCTCCATCGGATATTTTACAACATTCCATGGCAAGCATGTGGTCGGTACAAGCTCGTTCGTCAGTACGTCCTGTGGACGGACCTGATATCACGCGATAGAACTAATTATGTAGAAGGATTTTGTAGATAAAAATTTAGAGTGTAAATGTTATATATTTAATAGACCTAACCAGGAGTAGTTGTGAGAAATGGAAGTCATCTGGCGGGAATCGACAAATGGCCTCTGCAGCTCAGTTGGTTAGACTGCTGCTCTAGTACTGGAATCGCATGTCTGTATTTTCAAATTCTGCCGGAGGACCTATAGTTGCATTTTCCGCAAATACTCCTTGTTAGGTCTATAATAAATGTATAAAATTTGAACAATGGAAATTTCCATCAAAACCCTTAAAAATAAGTGATTCGTTAATAATTATTATGGCTGGTCAGTCATTTAAATTCATGACCATAGGCGTACGGGGGGGGGAGGGGGGCAGCTGCCCCCCCCCCCAACAAGATTACAAAGTCGAAAAGTCGGGCAAATGCTCAACAAAAGTCGGGCAAAAAGTAGTCAAAAAAAGGGGGGAGGTCGCCAAAATAAATTGTTCCGGAAAAAAATTTTTCGGCACTTGTCGGGCACAATCCGAAAAAGTCGGGCAAATTTCTTTCAGCTTCCCCCCCCTAATTTTTTCCTTGCCGTACATCTATGTTCATAACAGAAGAACATATAACCACCTGTAAAATTGTTTCGTAAAGCCGCGAAACCCACGATCGTGTACAACTTCTTACAAGTGTTCCCTTTTCAAAGTCTTTTCAATACTTTGTAAAATACCTTTGTTGCAGCAGTTTCCTGATGATCGTGAAGAGCTAGCCAAACAGCATGCCCAGTTGGGTTTATGGTATCAAATTTCCATTGATAGATTGTTCCCAGAGAGTCAACAGCCAGTAACTCGGTTTTGTTCTCTTTCGTCCAGGCTGGCAACCGTTGGAAGCAATAGTCTGAAGTGTTACACGTGCCATATACTTTTTCTAACACATCCTTAACCGTTGTAGGCCAAGTTGTTCCTGAGTTCCACCACCAAAATTTTGTCCAAGTATTCATTCCTTGTTCGCAAAAAGCGAAGGCATTCCAACAGCTGAATAGCAGCAACAAAATAGCAACTGTATCTATAAGTTAAAAGGAGTAATTAAGACCTGATTCCACGGACGGTTTCGTCGGCGAAATGCGAAAAATTAGTTAAGACCATGTTAGACGGTGCAATTGTTCTTGCAACCTGCAATGCAATGCAATGCAATGCAATGCAATGCAATGCAATGCAATGCAATGCAATGCAATGCAATGGCATGCATTGCAAGTTGAAAAACAGATTGCACCGTCTAACCCCCCTAGTTTGCAACTTGCAATGCAATAAAAAATAGCATTGTAAGTTGCATGGAAAGTTGGACCGGCTTCTACTTTTTGCAATACTGCGAGACAACTTGTCTCGCAATACTTAGGAAATTAGCCAGTCAGAAAGCTGCATAGCCTGCGATCAGGATGAATTTTTGGCAATTCAAAATGGCGGACTTATTGTTGAGCTTCATTCAAACCATGAACGAAGAAGAAAAAATGAAAATGAACCGGCAAAAGACCAGGTAAAAACGACAAAATTAACAGATTTTGACAAAATTGCCCTTTTGGAGGCAGTGAAAAATTGTCCTTCCCTATGGAAGAGCGGTGAGAGTTGGGCAAAGAAAGACAAAAACAAGAATTCATGCTGGCGCGGAATTGCAGGTCGCAAAACAAGTTGTACTCTCATCTGACATGTCACTGCAACGTGCAATATTTATTTTTTTATATATTGCATTGCATGTTGCAAGAAAAATTGCACCGTGTGACATGGCCTTTATAGGTGCATGCGCAGTAAAGATAAATTAGGTTTGTCGAGAAAAAAATTCGCTTCACCAGTCAGTAGAAGTCAGTTCTACTTTTTGCGAAAGCGGAAAAAGTGGGACAATTCAATATAATCGCTCATGTGCAACCTTCCGTATTTCGCAGACACAGTTTCTCGCGAAGAATTTCGCCGTCGTGCAATCAGGGCTTTACAAATGTTTTTACTTTTCCCTCACCTTTCCTACTGTATTTGGTGCATTCTACACAGCGGCATGCTGGAAGAGGTGCAGGGACCATGCTCCCCCCCCCCCTCTGAAAGGTTTATAGGGAGGCGAAAAAGCTTTTAAGGAGCAATGAAACTGAATGAAATGAAAGCAAAATTGTTAATTCTACTTAAAAGATGGCCGAATGTGTAAAGGAATATTAAACTGTTTTATTATATTAAATATATTTTATTATGCGCGTATTAAACTGTCTTGAAGAATGTTTCGAAAACTCCCCCCCCCCCCGCGTCGACGCATATTTTGGCAAATGTATTGTGATTGGTTCCAAGTATTGAGATGGCTTCCCCTGATAGTGACGAACAGTGGCCAGCACGCCACTGATTCTACAAGCTCTGTTTCGCACTTTTTCCACACTGTATATACGCCAAACACAATTAACGTTGCAAATATTCAGCCCAAAGTGAGTGACAAGTTAGAGTAGCTGTACATCAGCCTAGACGTATATGCCCATTACTTGGCTGGCTTTGTCAGGTTTGGACAATTGAAGGCTAGCATGTATTACGTCATCATTAAAATGCATGTAACTAGAACGCCTCAGATAAACTGCTTATCTTTTCCTTGAATCCAAATCTGACGTCCAGACACGCGTTCCTGGACCGTCAGTTCATGCGTGTTTATGTCGTGCAACTCTCTCGCGACCACATTTAGGACCATGCCGTTTTAATAATAATAATAATAACATGTATTTCCTATAGCTCAATGGCGCTTTACAATATTTAGAAAATTGTAGTATATTTACATCTAGTATACTTACATCAATCCATTTAAATACTTACTGTATTTACATTACCATATAAAAATTAAAGTCAACATAAAAAGTAAATTAGACAAAAAGTCATTAGATAGATACAACTAACAATAAATAAAATTGGTAAACTAGTGTCAATTACTTATAGAAAGAAATTTTTTAATAAATATGTCTTCAATTTTGTTTAAATGTAGATATGGATTCACTTTGACGTACTGAATCTGGAAGTTTATTTCTTATAGCTGTGGCTCGGCATGTGAAAATGATCTTTGACCATAGTTGACCAACTTTATGGGGGGTACTGAGAGACGTCCTTTCATCGATGAACACAGATTAATAGTTGATTTGAGCGGTTGTAGCATATCCCCATAGAATGCAGCTCAATGTTGCAAATCCACTTAGAGCCTTGTAAGTGATGAGAATTATAGTATCTTGTAAATGATACGTTGGCTGACGGTAAGCCATAGTGCAGCTCTTTCATAAAAGGGGTAATATGATCAAATTTTCTACGTCTATCAAACGTGCTTGCGCTATTCTGCACATGATTTTGTAATCGATGAATCATGAATTTTAGCAACCCACATAACAGCTATATTTAGTTTAGAAGTAATAAGTGCAAGAACAAGAGTTACAGTGTCTGCTGTAGATAGATAATCTCTTGTCTGTTTTCTAGTGCCGATTTACTAAAAAAGCTGGCAGGATTTACATATACGTACTGTATGCTTGAAAGAAGAAAAGTGTCTTTTCAAACAAAATCAAGGTTCTATAGTTAATTTTATATTGAGATGGACTCTCAAGTTTGACTTCAAATTTCGAGTTCGAATTAGCGCTCTAGCTTTATTTAGTTGAATGGATGTGACATAATTACCAAACACTAGTATCTGACAAAACTAACCGAGTAAAGGCTTTGGTCTGCCAGTGTCAATTACTAGGTCAATACATTATGTCATCGGTTTGTTATTTGTCGGAAAAGTTTTTCCCATGACTTTTGCCGACAAACTAATAATTTAGCTTAAGCATTAGATGCCCTATACAGACCGTGAGTGACTGAGTGTTTTACACAACAAACTAGAATTGTTTAAGATTCAGTAAAAATTTTGTGAATCATTACTGTGAAAATTATAATTCATATATTATTATTCATAAACAATTTTATAATTTCTTATTTGTTGCAGTACGTGTTGAATAAAAGCTTAAACCGCCATCACAGATAATGAAAACAAATAGTGCCGATTGCCGAAGGAAAAATATACCATTATAGCCTAATTTATACGCATTTGGCGATTGCGAGACAAATGTGAATTTGCGTACGTCTTGCGGGCTTGCGGTACAAGTATACTGAATGCATTATACATGCATCTATCTCCTAGCTGTATTTGATAAGATTCAATTTTTGACAAGAAATTATGTCAGATTTTTAGATATTTAACGTTTGGATGCAGGAAATTCATTAAAACTCTTTATCAAGGTTTGGAATAACATAAATCCGGTCCAACAGATTTGCATGGCGAATTTTAACACCTTCGATCAAGTGTTATTTCCTGCAATTCCGTACAGACACAAACTTTTTATCTGGACAGACATGTAGTCGTGACTAAGTTTTCTTCCCAACTTGCCTGGAACTGGGCGGGGGGAGGTGGGGGTGGGGAGGGGGTGGAAGCAATATTGTTAAGGCACAGACACACCGGACGCGATTCCACAACACGACGCGATTTTTCGATTTTCACTGACCGATAACTTTCGGATCCAAGTTTAAATTTTCCAAATATTTAGAAGCGCTATAATATTTTGAGTTATTTGGTCTACATATCTTTCAAAATTTGCTCTGATTGGCCGTTTCATTAAATTTTAAAAACTAAAAAATTGGGCCGCATTGTTGAATCGCGTCAGGTGTGTCTGGACCTTTACTGGACGAGGAGTTCACATGAGGGATGGGAGAGACTTGACTTGCTCTGCTCATATGTTATTGACATATTGTTTTACCTGAACCCAGTGAAATGAATATAGCTAGAACGCTACCTCTAACCGGGAATTTGAAGGCAAACTTGAAGGTCGGTCTCAGTCGTTTCACGCATGCGAGGAGCGCGGTCAATCGGTTACATTGAATATGCATTCCTGAAAACACGCTTAAAATTTACAAAAAAGCTTTTAACAGCGCGCGCTCAATGCTTTCTATTAATGCATTTATTTAGGTAGACGTTCTAGTAGACTTTACTTTTAGTTTTTTTTCTTAGTTTTTTTCTTATACTGATTGTTACGCAAGAGGGTCACGAAGCATAAACACGTGGAGATTTGGTTCGAGTAAAAGATAGGCAGTTTTCCGAAGGTAGCGTTCCAGTTATAATCATTTCACTGCCTGAATCAGACATATATCCTCTATGCTGTAAGAGGACTTGAAAATGAAGCACCGGACGTCAATTATGTCATTGTAAATACAAAAGGAGGACGGAAATTAATTGCATACTGACAATCTTATATCTGCATCACTATTACCTGATCGATCAGACACACCTAATTAGCTCGGAACAATAAATTATTTTTCAGCATTTGCATATGACTTCAGCAAATAAATTAACTTCTTCTTATAAGATGGGTATAGTAATATGACATAAAATTGTGTGCCTCGAAATACATTTTTGTAATTTAACTAAATAAAGGTTATCCTTAATATTTTTTTGAACGAATCTAAGATTTCCTAAAATGGTTACGAGGGTGTTTCAGTTCCATTTCCGCACTCAAACTATATCTGAATCCTAATCACTCGACCCACTAACTTGCCAAATCGCATTCTCAGATGGCATATTGCTGATGCAAATCCCACTTCAAGTTATCCAAATCTCATTTTATCTCCAGAGAAAACAAAAGGCAAATCTCAACTCCCAATTATATTTCTTCGCAAACCGGCCTCATAAACTGATTAGTTATAATTGGGCATACTGTATATACTATAAATACATATATATTACTATGTAGCAGTCAGTCTACTTCAATCAAAGACTAGTAAACTGCAATCATTGTATATTGCAAAAAGAAAGTTAAATTAATCAAGTTGGGTTTGTAAGGCTGCGTATGTTATTTTGGAGTCCGACAGGACGCACAAATGTGGGATATATACTGGATATTCTGACAACATGCAGCATTTGATGAAACTCTTTCATTCTACGTTCAGCAATGACACAGCCTGTTTAAACCGAATT